ATCAGTGCTTATATTTCACAGATATATATATATATATATATATATATATATATATTTACAAGAACGCATATTTTATTTTAAGAGATTCATATATTTTAATTATCATTAAAATAATAAAAGAAAATTTAGTAATGATAAGAGTTGAGATTTTACAGTCAATTACTTGCAGAAGTAAGTTCTCAGAGGGAACTGGTTAATTATAAGTCAAAGAAATTTAAAGGAGATGGACGGGCCGTATTTTTTGACACTAGCAGATAGTATTCCTTCGCACATTGGCCTTTTTGTTCCGGCTCCCTCGTTTACCCACCTATCTCCACCGCGTTGTGTGTTTCTTAGCATCCGCCGCGAGATGTGTTCCCACACGTTTAAACCCCACCGGCCACCTCCGTTTATCCAGCATCTCTCCGCATAGTATCGCGCCGGGTAATCCTTCGCGTGCAAACATCCTCGCTCCATTCGTGCCACGGCTCTCGCACGTGCGGGCGACACGCGATAATTTTATTCCGGTGCTACTTCTAAAAATAGCTTCGTTATTTTCTCTCGGACGAAAACAACACCTCGTGCCGTCTCATCCTTTCGCGATCTCCGCTACCTTGTTCCCGTCCTTCGTGCAACCGAAATTTCTCCCCTTCGCGGATTTATTGAAATTTCACTGAAAAAGAACGAGGGAACAAGTTCTTCTTCTCTTCTTCTGTCGTCTTTTGCCGTTCGCTTTGTCTTTTCCATGATGCAAACGCAAACCCAAGACGTCGCCTTTGTCACTTATTTCCCGCTTTTCCTCTTGCATTTCTCGGCACAATTCCCGCAAAACGTCGCCGTCTGTCCTTTCGACGCAAAGATCTCGAACTCATTTTCCACTACTTAATTTATATAAATATTTCATCCCCTTTCGCTAAACATTGCACGATATTTCTTTCTTGTAATTACGCCACTGGAATAATTAAAACTATTAGAAATGTAAAAACATTGATTGTACTTCTATAAGATTAATTGAAGTGAAGTAATCTAAATAAATACAACAATTTTCCGATGTAATAGAATTAATACTATAATAATATGTATATAATATATTAAAAAATTATTTAAAAAAAGCAAATATCGATGAAAATAAGAACGTGAAGCGAAATAGCACTTCAAACATCATTTCGCATATCTAATATGTCGCTTATATTTTTCTGAAGAGTCCTCCGTAATAGATGTCGCAATATTTTACACGTGCTTTGGCTCCCGCCCAAATATAAGTGTATTCGACGTTTTCCTCTTGGATGCAATACCGCGACAAACTACATTGCGTTGTAAAGGCCGCACTGTCAGCCGTAAAACTTTTCGCGCGAGTCATTCGCGAAATATTGATTCCTGCT